AATTTAGGCAAACGTTTGCCTAGAATAAATACATAACTGTTTTCCATATGACCATGAATCATTCAATTTGTGATTATTAAATAGCTTCACTGTTATTATTGTAAACACAAACATTGATTCTGTCCTTGCTCAGGTTGTCCGTTGGCGCCACAGATCTTTAGTGGCAAACAGAGAATATGCGACCCAGTAAAGTATTATTCTGTCACTGCCTACATTGTCCACAAGGGCGCAGCAGACTCTAACAAATACACAAACCCCAACCCTGCACTAACAGTCAACGTCAATATGTTTGTTTGTCCTGACACTATTCCACGCAGCCCATTAGCCAGTGCAGACATTTCAATCCTCATGCCGATGAAGTGCAGGATTGTCTTGTTTCTCCTTCACAGCCCGTTGGACGAGCGACGCCTCGCGATGACGGCCTGACGTCTGGACGACTTACGGAGGCGTCACAGCGTTTTGCCCCAGCGGGCTTCTCTGTTTCCTCTGGTCAGGGACACCGACAGCCGCTTCCACGCTGAGTCCGTCAGAAGATCAGGGACGACCACCTGACTCACAGGCCTAGACACCGGGGGGGAGCGCCGGGCCTCAGGGGCCTGCTGCTTTTATCGGACACGATCGTTTCTGTGCACCGCTCCGACACAATTACACTTCTTGTGTGAGAAGCAGTGCAGCTCAACCTCATTCGGTCTCCCTCAAAGAAAGAAGTGAAACAGAGACATTCAAATCTGTCGCAGAGCTTTACACGGATCATCCACACTAGCACTGAGACGTCGCGTGAGGAGCCCGGTGGTCTGCTGTGTCCCGGGGAGGTCACAGAGGGAATTTCACGCTCCTCTTCACACTGAAAATGTCTCCTTTATCCTTCACACTGAGAACCAAGGAAACGGGAAGAATGAAAGGGTGGAGTGAATGGAATTTTTTTTTAAACGGGAGCAAACTCCTGAATAAGGATTGCTAACTTGTGCAGGTGTGACTTGTCAGAGTGGGGGGGCAAGCGACACCCAGCAGAGTAAAGGACATATGTGGTCACCGGTTGAGTGGAAGGGGACGTATTTGAGAGGCGAAACGGGGAGAAAGGAAATTCTCCTGCCAGAAGTGTGGTCAGTTTGCGCTTATAACGAAGCAGGTGAAGGATGGCCGGGGGGGGGTCACAGGGTTTAAAGGACAGTTAGACGTGGTCCCCCGAGGGGGGAATGGCGGGCCCCGTACGGCACACGGAGTTAAAAGTGAAAGAGCCTGAAGACCCGAAGCAGAGGGAGGCTTATCAAACAATACATGCTTCAAGTGCCAGAGCCAGAAGCATCATTGTGACAAATCTTATTTTCATGTTCACCACTTTGTCTAAAGCCCCCCCTCCTCCCCCCAACCGCCGACGCTCTCACTCGAGCACAAGCTGTCCGTCTCTCTCAGCATCCCACTTCCCGATGACTCCCAAATGGGATAAACACCCTCATTTACACAGAGGGACGCACACACACACACACACACACACACACACACACACACACACAGGCACGCACACCAAGTTGCGGTTTCCCGGTAGGAAATCAGCAATCTGCTGCCATAACCCACCAGCATTTAAACCACCTTCCTTCTATTTATTCACTCCCCCCACCCCCCTCCTCTCACGCCTGTTTAAACACCTGATACCTCCCCTGTGTGCATCATTAGGGTGAGAAGACATTAGGAAAAAAGAACAGTGAATTCATTTGAGGGGGTGGTCTGGTGTTGCAGCATCACAGAGGTCGAGAACGTTGTGCAGCGAGACAGACATCCTCCTCTGTTTTCCATTACTGTGGAAATTGGACACCTCGTTTAGCCATTTTTGAAAGCACAAGGTCTCAAAAAAATCATATCAATCCATGTTAAATTCCGAGGAGTTACACGTGAGACGACCGGTTAATTTGACAGCACTTCTTTGACATGTTCCTCCATAATCCCAGAGGAGAAAATCACAAACGGAGGGAAAAAAGAGTTGACACAGTTCGCCCAGCTTTTCAAACCCTCTCTCGCTCTCTCTCTCTCACACACATAAACACATATGCACAAACACATACACCTCGAAACAAAGGTGCCATTTTACTCAGGAAGGGTCAGCAGTTCTCTCCATCAGACAGAGGCTTGTTCTTGGTCAGAGGCTGCTGCCCAATCTCAGGCCACCCTCCCCTGGCTCCACCGGCCCCCTCTGGCCCCCCTCTGGCCCCCACCACCCTGGAGACAAGCTCCCCATTGTTCCTGCACTACTAATAAATGACAGTTCTCCTGTTCAGACAAACTTTAGAGCCCATTCTAAACACACACACACACACACACACACACACGGTGTAACTGAGTGTAACTGGTGCTCTGAATGAAAGGATACACTAAAGCTTTTTCTTCTCTTTTTACTACCTGATATTGCTCACGGCGATCGCCTAATGATCGAAGGATATTTTTATCGAGTCTTGCGCCCTGCAGACCTGATGAGGTAATGCTCTGGCGCACTGGCTACAAGAGGAGGGTGTAATTAACCTGTAATAAAAGTGTTCTATTGCCTTGCCTGCCCACTATACAGAGACACGGTCAACGGAGGACATGCCACTCAGTAACCTGCGTGCAATGTCACACACACACACACACACACACACACACACACGCGCACACACGCCAGGTATTAAGCTTGATCAAGGCAACCGAGGTGGGCCTCGGGTTTGGACATGATAAATCACCACTCGACTTAAGCCCATAAACACACCATTAACACGCTCGACCACAGCAACTCAATCTGTTTACCTTAACCACCGTGCTGGGGGGCTATCGCGCGGGGGTCAGGCCCGTATTAGCATGCCTAGCGGAGGGCGGGGGGGGGGGGGGGCTGATGCACATGTTCCTCACTGCTGGTGGGCAGCATTAGCTACTGGCCAAGCAACATTTTAAAGGAAATGCTACCCAGAGGAGCATCATCTACTGTCATTAAAGAACAAAACACAGCTGAATCAGAGTTCAGCAGAATTGCGAGTGCTGAGAAAGTTCCTCGTTGAACTTGTTGAAATGCTGAATGGAGTAAATACACGGTTGTTAAGTGACTCTGCCCCCCCCTCCGGCCTTTATGCGGTTCTCTACCGCGGCGGTTCACCACAAGCGTATCATATGACAGCTCATCCAGCACACTCAGCCGTGCCAGAAAGCAAATTCCTGCTTTGCAATTCTCACGGAACCGAGGCATAAACTCAAAGTATCCATTAGAGAAAAAAATTGCATTTACTGAAATATCCTTTTGCGGCTTTGCTGTCTGAGAGTCGCGGTGGGGCGTGCGGGGCCGCATCCGCGTTTGCGTGGCGCTTACGCGACGCATGGGGCGATGCCGAGCGAGCGGGCAAGAGGAGGAAGAAGAGGCAGAAGTTGGAGTAAAAAAAATAAATAAAAAAAGCCCCAGTCTATAGTCAAGGCCCGCTCGCTGACAGAGTCTGTCTTTGTCTGCCTCCCAGGGTGCCAGATAAAGGAATTCTTGTGTGTCGGGGGCTCTGACCGAGTTTATTTGACACTTCAGCTCCTTTTGTGCAGCAAGTGTCCCACCGTCAATGCTGGCCATGAGAGTCACTTGGCATTAGACAGAGGGTCCCTCTTCAGTGGAGAAAGGGGGTCTTGTGTATGTGAGAGCGAGGGGGGGGGGGGGGTCTGTGCTCTGTGTTGTGTACAGACGTATAGTGGGGCTCTGTCCCTTACCCCGACAATAGATGGATTTCTTCGTCGCGAAGGGAAGTGGACGTTATTGGGGAGGAAGCTCGGAAGCTTCGGCGGACAACTTCCGCTCCCATGAACGCAACGCGCCGCTACGTCACCGCGTGCTCATTGAGGATGGAAATGCCGACCGGCGTTGCAGGCGCGAACCCCCTTCCCTCACATAAATCTGACCGTGCGTGGTTTACGATGGAGTGAGATCACGTGCACCTGCTGGTTCCACTCAAATGAAGCGCCTGCACACCATCCAAATGTGTGTGTGTGTGTGTGTGTGTGTGTGTGTGTGTGTGTGTGTGTGTGTGTAAGTGTATTAAGCAGAGCACAGCAGTGATCTCTGATTCATGCCATGTGGCAGGTAGCGGCGGCATGAGCCACTGACAGCTGCCTGACATAACAGGCCTCCCTGTGGGCCAAGTTTCTGAAGACAGATTTGCTCCCACCTGAATGGAGTCACTGTGGGAGAGGTGGGTGGAATTGGTTTCTATGGTTACTGTATCCACACTGTTCATTTTCTTTACTTTGCTGCACCTGGTCTTTCACAACTTGTGACAAGTCGCGGCTCTGTGAATGGTCTCGGCGCTGCAGGTGGACGCCAGCGTCGAGGTAAGGAAAAGTTTGCTAAAAAGTGTTTTTTAAAAAGGTGTCACTTTGAAAATGACATCAGTGAGAGTCAGTTTTGGGGGCAGATCAGGGCTAAAATAAAACACACACATAAACACACACACACACACACACACACACACACACACACTCTCCACAGGCACAGTACAGCCTTACTTGATAAGAGATGCCCGTTGGAATCCCATGTGAGAGGAGTTGTAATGTAACAAACGGGTGGATCGGGATATAAAGAAGGAACTTTTGGTCATAACAGCCTTGTTGTTGCCAATGGGTTTATACGGTTTGTGAGATAGCCGCTTAGTTATTCAAATTAAATGAGAACATTGATTTCTGACAGCCATTAAGACATATTGAAGCGACTCTCGCTTGTGAAGCTCTGCAACACGTTCTTCTTAGGATTTTATTATTAACAAGGTAACACTGTAGCACATATACGCCGAAACACAACTCCAACAACCCTCCCGCTTTCCCTCAACCCACCCACAAACATCACCACAACACACCTCCACAGGGGGCACTATGATTGACATACACAAGATGAGACCTTCACTGACCTCCTAGCCTCAGGAAAAGTGTGACCTCACTCACAGAACACGTCCCGCTATCATAACATCTCACTGACAGAGAGGTACAAGTCGGAGGTGATTCTCAAATACCTGCTGGATGAAGGGATGCGCCAAGTCACCGCCCGAACTGCTGGTCATCTGTTGAGCACTTTCAAATTATATTCCGGAATATTCCTTTTTCCCCAGTTGCCAAAATCCAGCTCAACGAATATCGATCTCCAAAAACCGCATCATGGTGTGGATTATTTGTGACACTGGCCGCGCGCATCGCAAGAGACGCTCCTGTCCGACCAGCTGCTTGTAGCGCAGAGGGACAAATGGACACTGTTCATCCCGTGTCGGAGACAGTATTTCCTCATATCCCACAGGTCGATGCACAGCCCGGCGCGTTGAATCCATCACAAAGTTTCACCCGACGTTTGTAACAACATGAACTCCTCCAGTGGTGCCACGGCTGTAAAAGAAAATAGCGTTTAATCGCGTTAAAGTCTCCAAAAGAATCCTGGAGTAAATCCTGTCCAATCAAGGCGATAGATCGGTGGGATTAGTTCCGATGAGCAGCAAAGTAGCCGCTTTCGTCCTTGTGGTCCGGCGCAATGATGAAGCTGTGACCTGAAGCCGCGGAGCTCGACGCGCTGCGCCGCCGCGCACAGCCGGAGCCGCACTGAGCCATAGTTGGAGAGCCGCAGCGCAGCAGCGCAGCACATGCTGCTCCGCGGCTGACGTCAGCGCGCAAGGCATGATGGTAAGTGGAGTTTATTTGCTGTGGCTGCAAAATATATGTGTGTACAAGAACATTGGCACTGGGTTAAAGAAGTTTTAAGAAGAGAAGAAAGAAATCCATAGGAAAAAAAGGAATGATATTTTAGCGTGACGGCAGTAAAGCGAAATGAAAATACTGCACGAGTCCTTGGTTTGGTATAATGGTTAATTATATTTAAATAATTATTATTTTAATATAATAATTAGTAGAATTGTAGACATGCATTGAAGAAAGAAAAAGAAGATTTAAAGTCTTTAAAGCAACAACGGCTAGAATAAGCATAATAAATCTCTGTTGAAGCAGCGGGGGTTTATGGGAGTAAAAAGGTCACAGCAGTTTAATATAATAATATTTATTTTATAAATATTATATATTATCACTATTAGGTACGTTATTCTATCACTATTATAGGCTTTTATGTTTGTGTTACTGTCACTCACCTGTCAGTTTGATCTCAGGTGTGCGTGTGAGCAGTGTGAGTGAGTAATAATGATTTGCGGTCCTTGTGCAGGGATACGGGGATGTTGGTACCATGAATCACCCTCCCATGAAAGAATCTCTTGTCTTTCGTTGCTCACTTTCATGTTCTAACCACCTCCAGGCTTGCTTGTATTTCTGGGATCACAGCTTCTCTTGAACTTCAAAACGAGAACTGGATTACCGGGCATGGAGTAAAAAAAAAACCTGAGGCAGGCTTGCTGTGCATTCAGATGGTTGAGTGGAACTCAAGCTGAAGTAGAGTTGGTCGATAACGTGACATTTGCTTATGGTTTTGTCCTTTGTTAAACCGTTAAGAGATTATTTCATTGTTTGTAATCGCACGTGATGAACCCATTGTGAGCACATAAGGTCATGCATACGACTACGCCAGCATCCCCGTTGATGTACGCAGTGTGGCTGAAAGTGATCAACAGGAACATCTGACGTATGTTAAACAAGAGGGAAAACTTTCACTTCACTGCCTAAGAAATTGGTCATCTTAAAATGGTTATTATCATCCTTGTATGATTAGCATGCATTATAAACGATTACATCTGAACTGGCTTCACGCTTCGCCACATCCCTTCTACTGATCTACAATCATCAGTGTTTGAAGCAGGTGAAGCTCCACTCCAACTTTTACTTCCCTCCCCATTTGGCCTCGCTCCAGTGCAATCCTGGAGTACCTGAATTGCACGCGATTCTATCAATTGCAGGTACTTGATGGCTTTCTTGTGTGCTGGGGTTGAAAAGTTGCAGGGGGTTTTGAGCACACGGCATTGCGTGACTAGAGCTGGGAATGAAAACACAAAGACATTGTTAGCAGTGATCAAACCCCCTTTATAGTAACTCAACAGCATTCCTGTCTCGCATTCCGAAACCACCGCTGCTGTGCGAAGGTTCATTTTTTTTTTTCCTTTTAAGAAAAAAAGAAAGAAAAGGAGGGTTACGCATTTTTATCTGGTTGACTGTGTTAACCTCCTTTTTTGGGAGGAAAAAAATATTGCTTCCTTGATTAACGGTCATTAATCATTAATCAAGGCTGAATTAAAGTGTTTGTAAAGGCAATTAACAACTAACTTGTGTCTAATTGAGAAATAATGATCCTGAATCTTAATCCAGCGGGTATTTCCTCCTGCTTTGATGCAATTACTCCACCTTACGACAGAGCCGAATGAGATGAAATGCATTCTTTGTGTCTGTATTTCCTGCACAATGCATGTGTGCGCGTGTGCTTGTTTATAGTCCTACTTTGTTCCTCCTCCATATTCCTACTAACGCCAGCGTGTGTTCCTAGGTATGTGCTAATGTGCACACAAATGTTTTCCAGATTGGTGTGACAGGGATAATCACATCCAGAGAGCACAAACCCATTTTGAACGCTGCTCACACAGATGGGAGGAAAAAGAGGAATGCCTCAGACACTCTGGGGGAAGCGAGGCTAACCGAGCGAAGAAAAAGGACTCAGACATTGTAAAAGCAGCAAAAACAAACCCGCTCACAGTGCACATATCAGGACGCACAACCGAGCGGTGACGAAACAAATCTAATATTTACTGGTAGCAACGGCCTCTACGCCTTCTGCTCTCAACATACAAAATGTAGAGGACAAAGGATTCAGTCATATCTCCAGTGTGCGCTCTGAGAGTGATTAAGACTAGAGGACATTCATTACTGGACTGGCTCAGACAGAGAGGGGCTTCAGAGCCGGCCTCTTGTGTTGGACTGTTTAGATGTCCTATCCCCTTGTATCTCTTTGACTACCTCCAACACAAGGCTCTATTCAACCGCACTGGGAACAAATGTTTCCTTATGTGGCTCTGAGTGCCCGAGCTCCAGCGACAGGAGAGAGAGCAAGAGCCCCGTGAGGCCGAAGGGCCGAGGAGCTTACCAGTAGCGCCGCCGCCGTCGCTTTTTTACTACTAAGAGTCACGAGAGGTGCGTCGGTAGGCGGACGCAGGGGAGGGTCGAACGTCAGAGAAAAGCGTGAAATGAAAAATGACAAGTATTTCCTTATCACAGCTCTGGCACGGCCCCCACCGCACGCTCACTTGTCCCACACACTCGGTTTCCCCTCCAGTAACTCGGTAAATAACGGCCAGGAAGCCTGAGGTTGGAGTCCGTGTTCAGCGGGCTCACGTAACTCCACGTGAGGCCTGGCGTTTCGACCTCCTTCAGCTTTTCGGGCCTCTCTCTACGTGGGAACGGGTGAAGGAAGTGAAGCTAGGCAGAGGTCACAGGGTCACGGGTTCAGCGTAACTCGGGTGATGATTATTTATTATTATGTGAAAACCTGTGAGAAAAATGGCTTCTGCGTGCTTCATATAAGAAGGCGTAATGCGTCGTTTACCTCTTTTTGAAAGAATCCACCAGGATAAAGAGCTAATCCTCTTGTGCTATGAGACTGATTGGTTTGGACTCGTTCCAGCACCGCAGGGAGTCAGATCTGTGGAAGGGAGGCTCTTTCAAACGCAACCCCTCCCCCGCCCACCACCTTCGTTGTTTTTCTTAAAATTGAACTGTAATATTAAGATTTAAGTAAACTCCCTTCCTTCGCTCCTTCCAGGCTTTCCCCCTCTTGCCTCGTATTAAAAAGTCAAACTGTAAGATGGTACTACTGTTTATTTGAACGTGTTTTCCTACTTAACCAGAAATTCAATGAACTTTTGGCCTGGGCTGGCTGTGCAATACCACTGACCTGCAGCGCATGACTCATTCCCCCCTTTTTTCTCCCCAGTGCGCACTCTTGCTGAGCATAGAGGGAATTGAGTTGGACTTCCTGGAGCCTTACTATATGGTGACCATGGGATTCTATGAACCTGCAGGTGCCTCCGTTTAATGGATTTTCTGTGTCAAAGAGCCCTCATTGTGCCACGTCACGTTTAAAGAAGTAACTCTCAACAGAACACACGTTAACTTCCTTCGGGAAGTTACACGGGTCTCCATCGTAAGCAGGTACACGCCAGTCTATCTGCTCGGCGTGTGTAGGCAGCTGGGAGTGTGGCAGGGCTGTGCGTGACTAGAAGAAATACACCTGTCTCTGTGCTCAGGTAAGGAGGCGGAGCCGGCACGCACGGGCCCGCCAGCTGAACAATGCTCCCTATTGTACCTGCGCTCTGACTGCAGACGCTCGCAGGCGAGGAAGCCCTGAGCCCAGTGTGTATGTGTGTGTGTGTGTGTAGTTCTCTCTCTCTCTCTCTCTCTCTCCCCACTCACACAATCGCAAAACACACACAGTCGCATTATTTGTACATGTATTGTGTTGACCGCAGACGCCCAAGGCAGAATCCCCAAAACTTCACACGCAAGCTGCCAATCAGAGCGGTGGCAGCCCGAGATTTTGTCTCATCAAAGCCAAGAGACACAGTACTGGAAACGGGCAGAGCTCTATGCGTAATTTCTTTGGAAAACATTTTGCGTGTGCATCATTGTTCAGTTGAATGACACATGATAGTTTCTCGTTAAAGTGGCTATCAAAACAGATGGTAGAATATTTATATATGCACGTCTGGGCTACGTTTACAAATGTGTCATGAATGAATAATGAATAATATTACTATAGCTACTGTATACACACACAGTCTATGGAGCGATAACAAGAAGCGTTGCTGTGAGCGTCTCGCGAGCTTTCTACACAAACCCATATCCTGACTATTGTTAAGTGATCTATTTTTAGATCCAGACGTTTCTTGCTCCAGTTAAAGATAAAGCAACCTCGAGATGCCGAGCCAAGATACTGTAGATGTGGACAGACGGAGAGACGGACGGCCCGAGAGAAAGCGAGCGAGAGGGCCGCCTCTCTGTAAATCACCGGGGCACTCTGGGGGTTTCCACAACAAAAGCCTGAGTCTCATTTCGTCTTGATTTGTAGCCCAATTATGACAAAGTAAATGAACAGTTCAACCGCAGAGAGGGCCGCTGATGAGAGGCAATGCCGAACATCTGCTTTCAGAAGTCTGGGTTCGGAGTTGAGCTCCAATGGACACAAGTACCCTTTTTTTTCTTCCTTCCCTGTCAGACAGAAACTCCAGCTGTTCTACAGATGGGGTCAGCCATTCGGTCCCGTTTGGAGGATAACGTGTAGCCACAAAGGAGTCCGAGCTTCTTTGATCTCATTATCTGGAAGTCACCAAAGCTTTCTACACCTCTTTCACCCGGTTTCCCATGGGTAGCCGCAGCACAGCTGCCTTTGTTCCGCGTGTGTGTGTGTGTGTGTGTGTGTGTGTGTGTGTGCAACACCAGCGGTATCATACGTGAATAAGTGTGTGCTTGTGTGTGTGTGTGTGTATGTAATCACTCACTAACGCAATACAGTCTTCATAAAGGTAGTATTGTTAAGTTGCGTGCGAAGCTCATGCTTTAGGCTCCCCGCCCACCCCTGTAAACCACGGCCTCTTTTTTTTTTTCATATCCTTTTTTTTTTTCTTTCTAC